TTCATGTGAACAGGAAGCGGACGGAAATTAAAAAAAAAGGAGGGGGCAAGGCATTTAATGTTCAAATGACCAATGAACGAAACAAAAAAAAAAAATTAAAATGATTTTTTTTAAAGAAAAACTAAAGGACAACGAATGAACAAGTGATAATCAATGTTCATTGCTACGATAAAAAAACATTTTACTTTAGTTTAGAGTACTAGATTTTTGACACACATTACGCTGCGAGTTGGATAAAATATATAAAATTATATAGAAAAATTATTTCAGTTTAATAATCTGTTTTATGGTATGAATGTATAACAATATATGAAATCAAAGGTAAAAAAATAATTATAATTTTTTAATAAAAAATTTTCTATTTAACTATTTCTTATTTGTGTTTTTCATATCTTTTTTCTTTACAAAAAGGATTTATCAATGTTAATCCATGGATTATTAACTAAAAAGAAAATTAAATAATTTTTTAAAAAACTTTAGTATTTTATAACATTGTGTCAAAAAATAAAAATAACAATCACTAAAAGCTTACATAGAATTCAACAAATATTTTTTATTTATTTCATGTTGATGAGAATATCAATTTTTGAAAAAAATATGAATTTCATTTTTATTAATTGGATGAATAATATTAAAATAAATCAAAACTATGAGTAAATATAATTTTAAATTAATTGGATGAGAATTTTAAAAAAATGACAAGTTAATGAAAATAGTAATAAATGACAAACTATGAGTAATAAAATTCTTTATTATAATATATGTTCTTTTTTTTTTTTTTTTGAGAAATACATCTTATGTAATTTTTAATTAATAAATTATGTTATGTGATAGTATGTGTTGACGAGACATAATTATTTTTTGAAAAAAATATTATTTTTTCAAATTAGATATTTTAAAATTTAGAAATAAATAATAAAAGAAATAAATTGTTTGTTCCTTTAAAATTTTAGCGCCCAATTAATTGTTGGTTCCTTTAAAATTTTAACACCCAATATTATTCAGAAATGAAAATTAAATAAAAATCGTTCACTTTTCATAAACGGAAATAAAAAAATGGTCACACCAAAAGAAAAATTAGATATTTTGAATTTTAGAAATAAATAATAAAGGAAATAAATTGTTAGTTTCTTTAAAATGTTAACACCCAACATTATTAAGAAACGAAAATTAAAAAAAAAAAAGAATTCAATGTTTAGGAAAAAAGGAGGGGAGCTAGCTAGTTGATCTGTTCAAGTGAACGAGTAAGTGGACAGAAATTAAAAAAAAAACGTTGAGTGTTTAGAAAGAAAACAAAAGGAGAGGGGGCAAGGCGTTTACTCGTTCAAATGACCGAGTAGACGGAACAAAAAAAATTAAAATAATTTAAAAAAAACTAAAGGAAATAAATGAACGAGTAATAATCATTGTTCATTACTATAGTAAAAAAAAGCATTTTACTTTAGTTTAGAGTATTAGATTTTTGACATGCACTACGCTACGGGTTGGATAAAATATATAAAATTATTTAGAAAAATTGTTTGAGTTTAATAATCTGTTTTATGATATGAATGTATAACAATATATGAAATTAAAGGTAAAAAAATAATTATAAGTTTTTAATAAAAAATTTTTTATTTAACTATTTCTTATTTGTGTTTTTCATATTTTTTTCTTTACCAAAGGGATTTATCAATGTTAATCAATGGATTATTAACTAAAAAAAAATTAAATAATTTTTTAAAAAAACTTTTGTATTTTAAAAGATTGCGTCGAAAAAAAAATAATTATTAAAAGCTTACATAGAATTCAACAAATATTTTTTTTACTTCATGTTGACGAGAATATCAATTTTTGAAAAACAAATACGAATTGAATTTTTATTAATTGGATGAATAATATTAAAATAAATCAAAACTATGAGTAAATATAATTTTAATTAATTGGATGAGAATTTAAAAGAAATAATAAATTAATGAAAATAGCAATAAATGAAAAACTATGAGCAATAAAATTCTTTATTATAATATATGTATTTTTTTTTGAGAAATACATCTTATGTAATTGTTAATTAATAAATTATGTTATGTGATAATATCTCGCTTATAGACATAATTATTTTTTGAAAAAATATTATTTTTTCAAATTATATATTTTAAAATTTAGAAATAAATAATAAAGGAAATAAATTGTTTGTTACTTTAAAATTTCAGCACCCAATTAATTGTTGGTTCCTTTAAAATTTTAACATCCAACATTATTCAGAAATAGAAATTAAAAAAAAAATTGTTCACTTTTCAAAAACGGAAATAAAAAAATGGTCAAACCAAAAGGAAAATTAGATATTTTAAATTTTAGAAATAAATAATAAAAGAAATAAATTGTTGGTTTCTTTAAAATTTCAACACCTAACATTATTAAGAAACAAAAATTAAAAAAAAAAAAGAAAAAGAATTCAATGTTTAGGAAAAAAAGGGGGAGCCAGCCGTTTCATCGTTCGTGAACGAGTAAGCGAACGGAAATTAAAAAAAAACGTTGAGTGTTTAGAAAGAAAACAAAAAAGGAGAGGGGGCAAGGCATTTATTGTTCAAATGACCGAGTAAACGAACAACAAAAAAAAAAACTAAAGGACAACGAATGAACGAGTGATAATCGGTGTTCATTCCTACAATAACAAAAACATTTTACTTTAGTTTAGAGTACTAGATTTTTGACACGCACTACGCCGCGGATTGGATAAAATATATAAAATTATTTCAGCTTTAATAATCTGTTTTATGGTATGAATGTATAACAATATATGAAATCAAATGTCAAAAAAATAATTATAATTTTTAAATAAAAAATTTTCTATCCAACTATTTCTTATTTGTGTTTTTCATATTTTTTTCTTTACAAAAAGGATTTATAAATGTTAATCCATGGATTATTAACTAAAAAAATTAAATAATTTTTTTAAAAAAATTAGTATTTTATAAGATTGTGTCAAAAAACAAAAATAACAATTACTAAAAGCTTACCATAGAATTGAAAAAATATATTTTTTTATTTCATGTTTGATGAGAATATCAATTTTTGAAAAAAATATGAATTTAATTTTTATTAATTGGATGAATAATATTTAAATAAATCAAAACTATGAGTAAATATAATTTTAAATTAATTGGATGAGAATTTAAAAGAAATGATAAATTAATGAAAATAGTAATAAATGACAAACTGTGAGTGATAAAATTCTTTATTATAATATATGTATTTTTTTTTTTTTGAGAAATACATCTTATGTAAATGTTAATTAATAAATTATGTTATGTGATAGTATGTGCTTATAGACATAATTATTTTTTTCAAATTAGATATTTTAAACTTTAGAAATAAATAATAAAAGAATTAAATTATTGGTTCCTTTAAAATTTTAACGCCCAACATTATTCGAAACAAAAATTAAAAAAAAAATTGTTCACTTTTCAGAAATGGAAATAAAAAAATGGTCACACCAAAAGAAAAATTAGATATTTTAAATTTTAAAAATAAATAATAAATGAAATAAATTATTGGTTTCTTTAAAATTTTAACACCCACTTAATTGTTGGTTTTTTTAAAATTTTAACACCCAACATTATTAGGAAACAAAAATTAAAAAAAAAAATCCAATTTTTAGAAAAAACAAAAATAGAGGCCAGCTGTTTACTGTTCATGTGAACAGTAAACGAACGGAAATTTTTTTAAAAAAATGTTTAGTGTTTAGAAAGAAAAAAAGAGAGAGGCAAGTCGTTTAATGTTCAAATTAACGATAGAACGAAATAAAAAAGGGGAAAGAAGCCAAAGGGCGCCGGCCAAAAAAAAAAAAAAAACCAAAGCGTTGTTTATTATTGTTTATTGCTACGGTGAAAAACCATTTTACTTTAGTTTATAGTAAGTATAATAATATAATGGCAACACAAGCCTTTATGGTTTCTATTTATATGTGATTTAATTTTATTATTTATTCCAATAAAAATTGGAATAAACCATCTAATTTTATCAAAATCTCAACCAATCAATACGTGTTACATGTAAATTTCGAACTTATAATTTTGGCTTTAGCAAAAAAATTTCTAATGATATGAAAGATCCTCAGGGAAAGATAGCTTTATTCTATATTCGGAATATCAATGACTTGGTATTAAAGAGTAGGCAGAGGAACTAATTTTTACATACCAAAATTAAATCTTTTTTCCTAAATGTATATTGAGATTCAAAATAATTTTATATTTTCTATAACAAGATTTGGATTGGAACCTTTTTTTTTTTTTAATTTCCAAAGTATCCCATGCCCATCAAAATTAAATATTTTTCCCTTAATATATATTTAGATTCAAAATAATTTTATAATTTCTATAACATGATTTGGATTGAATTTTTTTCTTTTTGGGTTTTCAAAATATCTCATGCTAAAAAACTCAGATTAATCTTTCGTTTATCGATCGGATGTACAAAACGACCATATTAACTTAAAAAATTTGTTACATACATATGGTTGAATTTGAGATTATTTATTTAAACGATTAGAGCTCATTTTACTTAAACCAAACTTCTTAAGTTACTTAGATTGGAACTTTGAAAGCTAATTAAAAAGAAGGAATGTTTAGTACAAGATTTAACCGAAAGTTCCATATCAATAGCGAAAAGAAATAAAGTGCAATATTTCTTGCTTCATGTGTTAGGTAAGCATTGTGCGCTCCTTGATGGATTGCAAATTAACAGGTTAGCCACACAAACATTTCTTTCTTCGCTTTCAAACACCTCTATTATCTCCACCTTTATCTTCTAAAATCGATTCCTATGAGTAAATCACAAAGATGTCGAATCCAAAGATGTCCTTTTAGAGCAAAAAAAAACTACTATATAAATGAGGGTTAGCATGTCTCGTGTATGTGCACCAATGAGCAAGTGCTCTTTGTTCTTTCAAATAGATAACTTTAATTAAGGAAGACACCATGACTAGAACCATTCACTTCAATGTCCACAACATTAACATCATGAGCTTTCTCCTTCTTGTTTCTCTCATCATTGTCTCATGTTCACTCACCATCTGCTTTGCTACGGAATCTGAAGTTGGTATGTTCTTTATCCCTCTCCACGTCTCTCTTTCTGGTTGATAATGAGATTTAAGCTGTTGAGTTCATCTTTTCCACCGTTTACATTGCATTCTCATATATAATCAATGTTCTACTAACTAGCAGTGACTGAAATATGTAAAACACTCATAATCACATTTTGGATTTTTAAAGGTTTCTTGATATCATTCTTTAAAAGACAGAAATATTGTTTTTTCAATTTTTAGTTTTAAATTTTGTTTTTGAAGTTTTTCTCTTTGATGAAATCCCGTTTGCAGATGGAGTCATGGACCCAGTTGTTAAAACTTGACTAATAGGTAAACTTAGCATGGCTACCAGCCAACCACTGTCCTCCATTTTAGTTGCAAGGGTCACCAACTTGCTGACAAAATTAACTGGCTCTCTTAATAAAGAAGACGTTGTTGTGTTCTTCATCTTTGCATTTTCTTAAATTTTAATGCATGTGGTGCAGAACCAAGAGATCGTTTAACTTGTTGCCCACAAGGGTCTAATTGTGCATTGTTTAATGCAGAGTTAATGATTTCTTCAGACTCTATAGCACATGTCTGAATAGTTATTTCACCAATTTTTGTTTTATTCTTTGCTTTGTAAGTTGCTCTAAGTTAAATCAGTCCATGATGGACTACTTTCTGAAAGTGAATTACTTTTCATTTACCCATGTTCTTTACTTTTGAATCTTAGATTACCTAGTCAAAGCCAAATCTGTTCTTTTAAGTCTCAATATTACAGAAAATGTGAGAATTCAGAACCTCCCTTTGGCTTTAATTTTTTGGGTGCTTGTTTTAAAGATTTTTTGGCACTTAGTAAAGTGATTCATTTCATGTCATGAATAATTACCTTCACAAATGCTTTCATTTCTTAATCAGTTCAATCAATTTAATTCTTTTCTTTCAGAGGATGAAGATCAATTTGCATATGTAGAAGGAACTGGAAAAGGACCAAAGAAGTGGGGAAAGATTGACCCACATTGGGAAGCTTGTGGTAAAGGACAAATGCAGTCTCCTATTGATCTTCTTAACAGAAGGGTGCAAGTTTTTCCCAACTTAGGAAAGTTGCGTAGGGATTACCAAGCAGCTCCTGCTGCCGTGAAGAATAGGGGACATGACTTTACAGTAAGCTACTTATTGTCCCTTCAACAATTCATGGATTTATTCACGAAGCAACTCATTCTAATAAACAAATTTCAATTTAATCTTGAAAATATTGTTGATCCTATAAAGATTGGACCCTGTAAAAATTTTATAATAAATTCATTATTGAATTGTTGTGGTTTACCAGTATTCAGTATTATTCAGGCTACAAAATTATGCATCGCAAATGCCTGTTATCTGTGTTACTTGTAGACTATAATTTAAAAAAAAAAAAAAAAAAAAAATTGCAACAGATTTATTACTCCATTTGACTTTTTCATCAGGTGATTTGGAAAGGAGATGCAGGAAAAATTAAGATTAATGATACTGATTACCAACTGGAGCAATGCCATTGGCATTCACCCTCAGAGCACACATTCAATGGTTCAAGGTTTATTTGTCTGCCATGTTTTTCATTTGAAATTTAACATTTGATTGCACCCAAATGAGAACTGATCCTCCATCTACATTGTGCTCCACTTAATACCCTTTATTTTCCCAACATAAATATATATCTAATGCCTATTCAAATCTTTCTTTCCTCGTTTCTGTTAACAGGCACGACCTGGAGCTTCACCTTGTTCACTATAGCTCTCAGGGAGGGACAGCTGTTATTGCAATTACTTACAAATATGGTCGGCCTGATCGCTTTCTTACAAAGGTATGGTGATGTTTTTCAATTGGTGTATCCGTTTGTTTAGTGCTGTTATCCATGTGTTTGGTATCTGTTGAAATGCATGATATAAAGAAGACACCTTAGCATGACAAACCGTACGAGAAGTTTGATTTTTGAACTTAGTTACATGCATGTTAATGGTCCGTTTCAAATCTGTAAATCAGAAGTTCTCTTCTTGAGTATTACCGTTTCCTCCTTTTGGCAGTTGTTCCGCCATATAACCCATGTTGACCATAAAGAGAGAGACGTGGGGATTATCAACCCAGGAGACATCAAATTTGGGAGCAGAAAATATTACAGATATGTTGGTTCTCTTACGACTCCTCCATGCACTGAAGGTGTTGTTTGGACAATAGTCAAGAAGGTGCTTTTACCAAAATATTCATATTCCATTTCAGCTTCAATATATCTTCTTCACCGACATGATGTATATGATTGTTCTGATGCGTTCTTCTATGAACAGGTCAGGACAGTCTCAAGGGAGCAAGTCAAAGCATTAAGGGATGCTGTTCACGATGTAAGTACTTGTAGTTCAGTTTAAGGATGCATCTCAAGTTCATATCTTTTTTAATATTTCAAATTTGAAGAAAACTAATTTTTGACCTCCAAATGCGAATTCACTGAGAGCATTTTCAGGGAAATCAAGAAGGGTGCTTTAGTCACTCTCATACGTGTCCGTGTACAAGACCAAAGCACTCTTACTGATTTAACTTCTTTTGGTTTCTTTTGTTTTAGGGATACGAGACAAATGCTAGACCAACTCAGGCATCGGATGGAAGAGCAATTTATGAGTACAGTCCCTGAGGGAACGAGGCCTCTGCTTAGTAGTACAAAGTGAAGAGAAAAGAACTCAAGGGACCTACGTAATGCAGACTTTTGTATATCTTTTATCAGCTGCTTTATTGCCGTTATATTAAAATTTCATGCTAAATATCTCTATATGCTACTACAAAAAGCAAGCAAGATAAGTAAAAGGGAAGGAGTATTTCTTTATCACTCGTGTGTCTCATCGGCCGTTCTGCTTGCTCTAAACCTATAGGCCACCCTTGTCGAGTAGATAACTATGATAAATGCAATAAAAATGTACCGTGCTTGCTTCTTTTAGGTAAGTAATTTTTGTGTTTGAGCTAGACAGGCTTATATAAGTTACATCTACATATTTCATTTTGCAAGCCAACAATTTGAAAACAATGTCTTATGCATGTTTCAGCATGTGTAATTCATTATTAAAAAAAAAAATTGGCACATGCTACGAGGAGGTGATGAAGAGGCTTAAAGCTGGGCAAATCAGTAGAGGCACCAATGTGTATTGATGATTGAGACAAGGAGAAGAAAATGGCTTCTAATGCTGAATTAAGGGAAGCAGAACTTAATTACATGTTGAACAGATTTCAATGAACGTTTCTTCTTGAGCAGCTACGGCACAAAAACAGAGCAAATGAATGGTCAGAGCTGTAAAAATAAGAGAGATTTTGAGCACATACTTGATACCTCCTCCTGATATCCATGCATCTAAGGGCAATAGCTTTTTGGACATTATGAAAACCCGAAACCCCTCAGGATCTGACCAATGATTCTAATTTCTAACCAAAAGTCACTAAAACCACAATTCACTTGTACAACATTTAAGGATATCTCATCTCTAGCATTCATCCATTTTTCAATCTCTACATGTTAGCTGTAAACTGTATTCACAAATCATGCAACCAAACATTTGCAGCAACGTCAAAGTCAAAACTGCTTTTAGCTTGATTAGGTGATGAATTATTTCCTTGTTTCTCTTCAATCTATATAAATTTAATATACGTAGTGATCAGCCGGTCATCATGATCAACCCTTGATCAATTTAGTCAAATTTGTTTTTGGAATTACTTGTTGAGGAAGAGAGTGAACTCACGGAAATGTGTGGAGAAGAAGCTAGAACCATGATAACAAGTTTGTTGATTCAGTACATACAGTGCACAGCAGATTTAGATGAGTAGGCCGTTTTAAATTTGACAAATCTGATATTAGGTGAGTAATTGATGCCAAACTGCCTCCGATGTTCAACCAATCCATGATGTGCCTTTGTTCAATGTTCATTTTTTTATTAAAAAATAAAATAAAAATTTATTTCTCCTGTTCTACCGGACTTTTATCTATATCAGAAGAAATCATGCATACGCATCAACATATCTTAGCATATCCTACATGGTGAATAATGTTCCCCCCAACTACATGCATCAAAGCAAAGGTGCAACATCAAAGCTTGCGATATTCTCCCCCACCTGTCCTTCTCCGAAGGGCAACAAATTCATGAGTGATAAGAGGGTGGGAAAGTGAAATTTAAGATCATGATAACAAAGCACTAAATTGTTGGTAGTTAGCAACTTGCCAATATAGGAATGGCATGACAATAACCATACATCACAGTTCAAAGATCAAAAAGAATAAGGGAAAATAGAGAGATTGACTGCAAACCACTATCCACTAGACCCTTTAAAAAAAAAAAAAAAAAAAAAAAAACAGTTTTTAGTTTTTACAACTAAAACCACATACACATACACAAGCTTATTTTTACAAATGCTTGGTGAAGGGGGAAAAAAAGCATTCGCATAAGACCGAGAAAGTACATCACTTCCAAATTCATCCTTTCTAAGCAATGAGGAATGGAAGGACAGTAAGCATGAAATTTTCATAAGTGAAACTTGCTGAACCTGAGTACCCAGTATCCCTCTCTTTGAATTTCTCAGTCAGTCCCTGAAAAACAGATGATCAACCCATGCCACACATTAAAACTCTAGTACATAAAAATATGTCAAGGTAAAGCATGGAGTCAAAATTTGGAACCCAGCTTTTGATCCACGTTATATTCAAGCCTCAAATTGTATTAAATTTATTCAGAATTCAATATTTAGCAAAGAATACTTTAGCTCGGAACTCCAATTTGAATAAAAGTGAAAACAAAGGGAACTAAAATTCTTGATTGAATACTCCAATAATCTAAGTTAGAGGCTCACCTTGACAGTCAAACAGCACCTGAATTCCGCCCAAAAAGATAGAAGAAAACACAGAATTAGAGAAGCTTGATGCAATTCGAAAAGACTAAAATTCTCACACTAAACCAACAAAAGGTGATCAAACGCGATGCCAAGAAAAACATACTCGATGAAATTGTCATATTCGATGGCCTTGTTCTTCCCTCCCGTTTTGTCAAACTTGGATACCAGCAAATCCAAAACGACTGGTGAGACAGAAAATCCTAAACTCAGAAGCGCCTCTCTCAACTCATTACAATCAATCTTCCCACTCCTGTCCCTATCAAACCTCTCAAAGATTGCCTGTAAAGCAAAAACAACCAAAACCAAGAAAAACAATCAACATTTGTAATCTAAAAATAAAAATAATTATAAGAAAAACCTTCCAATTCAAAATCTCCAAAAGCTTACCCTCCAGTTCTGCAAACTGTAGAACAGCTGACTGAATTCCTTGGGCCCTGCATTATCGTGAAAAATAAAAAACGAAATAAATGTGGGTCCTACACAAAGCTTACGAGATTACGTATACAACCTTGAAAATTGCAAGGCAACATCGAAATATTGAAGGGCATATCTAGTACTTTGAAAAAAAACCGCGTATGCAGTTAAAATACGTGGGGAAATAAAAACTTATCCACTTAGAAACGCGTTGTAATTAATAGAGCACCTACAAAGACCGAAGTAACACCGAAAAATCCATGTGCCACAAATGTGTTTTGGTCAATTGCGTGACCTCAGTAACCAATAGATTTTAAATCAGTCCCTCTAGTTTTTCGAAATGAATTGAACAGTCCATCAGTTTTAAAAACTAATTATATAGTCTCTATTTTTAAATTTATTTGTAACTTAATTTTATTTTTGTTCCTTTTCAATTTAGTTTATTTTTATTTAAAAACAAATATGAAAAAAATCTATGGAAAAAAAAAGACGTATTTTTTTTAACAATATATTATTAAATTGATGAAACTATTCAATTTGTTTTGCAAAAATAGATGGACTAATTTATAATTTACTACATCGTTAACTGAAAACAGCGGAAAAAAAAAAGAACCGCTCAAAATGTCTCAAAAAGACGAAGATGGCCCCATTGATCAAGACCTAACTGAACAATCAGCATCCAATTATACCAGCAGTTTCGTGACTTTAGTCCATTCGATGCAAAAAAAAAAAAAAGCCGGCTTACATTAGAAAAATGCAGTAACATTCCGCTAACATGCTCAGATAAGAAAGAACAAAAGAATAAGCAAAATATCCATCCGGCTCAAACTAGCAAAACCTTCAACATTCCACTAACATGCGCATGAATGGAAAAAGAAACCATGGAAATCAAGCTCTTACCGATCTTCCTGGTGTTGGTGTTCGTGAAGAGATACATGAGAAGGCGAACCGTCCTCAAGCTAAAGCTCTGATTATAGCTCGATAAGGCTCTTTGCAGTTCATTATCATCAATTAGCCCGCTACCGTCCTGATCGGCGAGTTGAAAGCAGGCAATGATGCTGGGGTCGGTTCCGGGAGGGAAGGTGGAGGGCAAGAGAGCGGAAAAGGGGCTGCCGTAGGGAGCAGGAGGGTAGCCGCCAGGTACAGAGGGTGCGGAGGCATGGGGTTTGTCCTTTGGTGGCTTGGTGCCAGGAGCGGGAGCGCCGTAGGGGGAGCCGTAAGGAGCGGCAGGTTGTGCGGCTCCGTATGGAGCAGCGGCTTGTGGTGCGGTGCCGTATGGAGCTGAAGGCTGTTGTGGTGCGCCATAAGGGGAGGAGTATGGTGGGGCAGAGCCGTAGGGTTGGGTTTGTTGAGATGGCGGTGGGCCGTAGCCATAGCCAGCTGGTTGGTGAGGGTAGCCTGACATTTCGTGAGAGAAAAGGAGAATTTTCAGTGATGAGAGACGGAGAGAGGGAGGGGCAGAAAGTGGAGTTTTGCGATCTTAGAGCTTTTGGCCTTTGGGGTTTATATAGAATTGGGAATTTGGGATCTATAAGTAGACATTTGGGGGTCTATGTAATAATTATTAAGATTATTTTTTATTTCAATTTATCGTCCTTACACATCCATTTTTACTTGCATCTTCATGCTAACTTTGCTTCGCGAATCTACTTTTAAATTAAGAAGAAAAAAATAATATAAATGACAAAAAATTGAATCAAATCGAAATAGATTTGATAAAATAACTAATTATGTAAGAATGACTGAAAAAAAAAAAAAACATTTTCAATCATCATCTCATGATTAGTAGATAATGCATTTTTCCCCAATATATATTTCGAATCGATGTTTTCGTAATCGAATTGGAAAATGAATCAGTTGGATTTGGATTCACTCATCCATTTCTTCGATTGGCCGTTTACTAGAAAATTGATATCACTCTAATTATCATCGTTTACAATGTTGAGAATTAAAAATCTCCTTTAAATGGTGAGGATCGAGAATCAATATTAGTTTGATCGCAATTGATATCAAAAGAGGGAAATGGAATTCCTTAATCACAACACCAGCATTTTGAGATTAAATAAAAAAAATTATATGGTTGAATGCATTACAGATTCCATTGGCCACGTTTATTAATCAAAGGATGTGATGTGTATGGAGGAGGGTATCATTTTGACCTGCTTTTGTTAGCCTACTCCGTTTTAATTATGCGCCTCTGGTCAGCTTCATCGCATGGTTGACCAAAACACGTCATTGACTTTCTACTTCAAATCCAACGTTGTCTTATAAATAATCAAGGATTTATTATAAAACGGCTTTAAAAAAAAAGCCAAAAGAAATAATCATAGTTTGATGTAATGTAATTCGACGAAAAGGATTTGACATAAGTGGTAAGATTTGAATTCTTCAGAATTAAAAGTCTCTATGCCCAAATTATAGAATACCTATATGCCAACCACTACTGTTACAAAAAGAATATGCATTAAATGAAAATATGAAAACATGATTCTCAAATTGTTCATCTTAAATCTATACTAACCACTACTGTTACAATGAGGTCAAGCATGAGTCATTGACAAAAAAATCACATTTCCTCGAGTGAATATCAGAAGATATTAGCCACACACTAATTTCTTGTTTCAATCTTCTATGATAAAACCACTAATTGTTCATTTCTTAAAAAAAAAAAACTACTTCATATTCAATGATATCACCTCATCACAAATTATTTCATATATGATCAAATTAATACACTACTTTTAGTATAATTTTAGATTAATAAACTATAGATAAGAATTAATTATAGGATTATATCCATCCAAGTGGTCAAATAATCAGAACATCCTTTTTATCGAATGAATATGCAATATTTTCATGAAAAAGTTATACAGTTGTATTCTTTTTGTTTTCTTTTCAAGAAAATGATAATAACAAAAAAAAAGCTTTAATTCTTACAAGTTAAATTCAGTTAATATATTCCATTGAAGTTAATAAATTATAACAATATATGCTGAATATATACAAATAAAAATAAAAATATGATAGCTTATGGTAGTGTAAATTTGAGTCAACAAAAGTGGCATTTTCCTGTGTAATCACCTCCGATCCATAATTGTCGGGCACGTCTGCGACGCAACAGCTTGTTTCCACATGGCAACTTGGAAGCGGCGACATGGATAAAGCGGTTGACTTTAAATATAGGTCAACTCACCTCGTGGAATCGTGTCCACTTGATTTTTCCTTTTTGTCAAGTCATCAGATTCGATTTGCCTGATTCCATTGGGCCGCCACACACGGTTTCAGCCCAAATATTTTGAAAACTAGGGCTCGAAATTTTATCAGTGAATCTGGAGTTTATGACCACTCTATTCAAAGGTCATCATGCTAGGTTTTGAATCGATTGCCGTCTGACATAAACGAAAAAATTGGAATTTTAAAGAAGCTTTATCTCACAAAATCCAAAAATTACCCCCCTCCCTCCCTCCCTCCCTCCCTCCCTCCGAATAAAAGCATAAAAATTAAATGAATTATGATTAAATTTTTTTAGAAAGTGTTTGAATTTATTGTGAAAAGAATTGAATTTGGAAAAAGTTTAGAATTGAATTTTGAAAAAGTTTAGAATAAAATTTTAGAGTTAGGAACCTAATTGCATAGAAATTAGGAATCAAATTGCATAAAATTAAAATTTTAAACGTTCAAATTAAATTATCTATGAACTTTCGGAGTTTAAACGTTGGTACGATATCTTTAAAGGAAGAGGCTAAAGTAATCGGTTGAAAGATTAATGGATGTATAGAGGAGTAATTAGAGAACAAAAATTAGAAAATTAAAGGACCAAAATTAAACAAAATTTTCGGAGATTTTTACACCTTTTAGTCGAATTCTAGCAACATGATTAGGAGTTATTATATGAGCTTTGACTAAGTTAAAAGGAGGGATGAGAATTAGGCAAGATGGAAGGCCAAAATTAAAAGAAAGGTTAATGACCAAGATTAATCCATTTGAAAGGCTAGGATTTAAAGATGATTTAAGGGCTACGATCACACCAAATTGCAAGCAAACCAAGGGTAGAGATGAGGTCAAAGGTCCATCAAAATTTGCCTATAAATATGGGTACAAGAAATTGGAGAAAATGCACAAAAAATCTCAAAATATAAAGGAAACTCTTGCAAAATTTCTTTAGGAAATTCCACCCAAAAACTCATCCGATCACTTCGAAACACTCTTAACCAACCAATTGACAGGAAAATCAAGTTAGAAGATCAAAATCTATCTAGAGAAAAATTTAGGGTTTGGGCCAAAATTAGTGGAGGAGGAGGAAAGAATTATTCAAATAATCCAACCTTTCAAGGACAATTGGGAGCCTATTTGAGCAATTTAACTTCACCTACACCACAAGAAGTGTTTAATTGATGCTAATTAATGTGTTGGATGTCTTAATTTGTGATTTTTAACCTTAATTATGAAAAATTAGGATTAGAGTTCTTGATAAGAAAAAATTAGAAAAATAAAATTAAGCTAGAAATTTATGAAATTAAGGTCAAAATATGCTAATTGAGCATGAAATTGAAGTTTAGAAATAAAAAATTTCTAAGGTTAGGAAGAGGCAAACTTTCGGCCCAAAATAAGAAATTAGGGCTTTTTGATCCTTTAGTTAAATTATTTTTTTGTGAATAGATTATATGTTAATTAGCTATGAAATGATGTTTAGAAATAAAAACTTGCATTGAAATTGAAGAAAAATACTTTGAATTACTTTGGGAGGCATTCGACCCAAATCCCTAATTTTTAGGGTTTTCATTCCTTCAACTTATTCATGAATTATTGGTTGATTAGTAGTTTAATGAGTATGACTTGATAAGTAGAAGTGAAAAATTTCAAGAAAATTGAAGAAATTTACCTAATTTAGCTTAAGTCGAATTTCGACCCGTTAAGGCCCAATTAGTTTTTTAAGCTTGGTTTTGACCTATAAATGTCTAATGAATTAATTCTTAGTGTTAATGTGTAATTAAATGATTTAGTATTAGAACTTGCCGATGAAATGAGAAAAAAATAACGAGGTTAAGGTTAGAGTGATATTCGACCCAAATTGGATTAATTTAGGGTTTAGGTGTAATTGATTTTTAATACTTAAAATAACCAATTTAGACTTAGAATAATGTGATGAGAGAAGCTAGGATGAGAAATAATATTAAAATTAGAAAATTACCCTAATTTACCTAAATTAGGGTTTAGGCCCAACATGGCCCAATTTGAAGTTTATGAATATAATTAGTCAATGAATGCCTAATTGAATAAGTTCTTGATGTTAAAATTTAATTGAGGTAAATCATATGAGAAATTGGTGTTGAAATTTGGAAGAAAATATTGGTTTAGGTTAGGGTTACTATTCGACCCAAATAAGACATTTTGGGGTTTAAGGCTTGGTTTGTGTAAAAGTTGTTAAATTAAATTCTTTTGATACCAATTTGTGTGAATTATGTTTTCATGATGTATAAAATTTGTGATTTAATGATTATAAATGTGTATTTCTTATAATGTGATATGGTGAATCGTTGGATTGTTTGAAATGATGAATTGTTTGGAATGGTTTATAATGATTTTATTAAGGTGATGTTTATAATGCATTTTATGTTGTTAAATTAAGCATTATTATGGCATAAATGCATCTTACTTATAGCATGCATTTCATGAAGCAATGATAGTTATGAATTTTCAATAAAATATATATGCATGCCTAATTTAATGAAAACGGTTTAAAGTCATGAAAATATGTTTTTATGTCATGGTTTTCCAATAGCAATTGAAAATATTTTATGGAATGCGATTTTTAAGACTTTGAGGATTTTATGAGGAGGACTTCATAGGTTTTTCATACTTTCATGGTAAATGGTTCACGGTCGAGCAAGTGCGGACATACACTTTTAGAGGTTCGACAAGACGCATTCGCGAGACGGTCCAGTTCACAAGACATATTATGAAAACCCTAAAGTACCTATGATGGGACATATTTAAAGACAAAAAAGGAATTTCAAACTAATCATGAAAAGTATTTATGACATGAAAGAAATTTTATATGAGCATGAAAATGATTTACATATGCATAGCATGCATTAGTTAATATATTGAGCTATCGCTCACCTATTTGCCTATGGAGTAGCTAATATAGATAAAGATGGTAATGTTCACATTTGAACCGACTATCGAAGGAACTCGTCCAACGCGTGTACATTGGTTGTGGTTGGAAGATGGATTTAGTATACACCTTGATTGTCATAGTACTTGGTATACTAATTTACTTTTTAACCGATGTCCGTGTTTTTCTACATGGTATTTAAAGCAATGAAAGAGTAGATGGTCGGTTAAGAAGAAAATAGTGCGGATAAATAATAAGTCATATTTGGAGTATTTGGCGAGTGAACT